ACTTTCATTTCCTGACTTTATCACACAGTCCTCTCATAGTACTGACTTCCTGGGAGGGACATTCCTACCAGCAAATGTGGGATAATTAAAACCAGCAATACGGGAAACCCTTATACAAGACTAATCTCACGGTATAGAAAACAAGTTATTTATTTAAGTTCTCAGTCCCTATGTTTTCGGTGCACAACTCCAGACTCTCGTACATCTACCAGTTAAAGTACAGAGAGCTGTTGTTAAACCGGTCCAGCCAAACCAAATAATCCCATCATTCTAGGAGTTCCTCGGGTGGAATGGGAATTGAGGCACTGCGGCCTTACGAGATCGGAGCCGTGCGCCGCTGCCTTATGTTTTACTGCACACTGCCACCTAGTGGTTTCTAAACGAGGCCGCAGTCCGTTCAGTGTCTCTCCGCTTTAGACGAGCTTCGATAAGCCGGTTTAAGAATTTCTATTTTTTAAAGTTGTGAGCAACAGCTCGTGTGTTACAATTATAACTTGTTTTCGAACAATCAGAATCTATGCAGTTCCCGTAATATGTGGCCACTTCTTTGTGGCACTGAAAAATATAAGTCAAAGCTTTTTTTTTTTTTCCCTTTCCTCTCTAGTTATACCGCTTGGCTTCAGACCTTATGCTGTACAGATACGGCGCCCCAGGAATAACAAAACCCAAGAATGAAGGATTCTGGGGTGTTGTAGTCAAAATGTGTCTGCAGCTGCCTGGCTGATGCCACGGGACGAGGAGGCTGGGACCCCTAACCCCGAGTGAGGGGTGACCAAGGGGCAGCTGCAGAGGGGGAGGGGGTGGAGGAGGGGTGCAAGAAGACGAGCGCGAGGGAGAGAAGGGGATCGGGTACAGGATTTATAGTGGTGACTGACTTGGGGTGATTATCTTGGCTGTTGTCTCTCCTCCCTGGGGCCCTGGGCTCAATCACCCTGCGAAAAACTAAGGTTGCTGCTGGAAGAGGTGGTAGTGGGGCCAGCAGGGGGCGCTCACCCTGCGGTTTGTGTGTGTCCTAATGCCCCAGTATAGTGACGGGGGACACTATACTGTAAAAAAATGCTTCATCCTTCAGATGAGAAGTAAAACCGAGGTCCTGACTCTCTGTGGTCATTAGAAACCCCAGGGTGTTTCTTGAAAAGAGTAGGGGTGTTACCCTGGCACCACTCATGGTGGTGGTGGAGTGGAGTCCCCTTTACCTGTAAAGCCCTTGAAGTGGAGCGTCCAGAAAAGTGCTATATTAAGTACAAGTGTTATAATTATTATAATTCCGGACCAGGGGTGCTATCTGCGTGGAGCCTGTATGCTCTCCCCGTGTTTTTGTAGGTTTCCTCCCACAGTCCATAGAGGTTAAACATTTGCAGTGGTGGATTAAAGATTTCTGTTCACGTTTGCCATGGTGTGCCTGTGATGGACTGGTGTCCCGTCCAGGGTGCGCCCTGCCTTGCGCCCGTTGCTTGCTGGGATAGGCCCCGGCTCCCCCAGCGACACTGTAGTAGATCAAGCGCTTGGGAAACGGCTGGATGGATAAGGAAGACAGAGGCGAACAATTGATTTTAGAGACACCACTCGACCTAAACTGCGTGTGTTGGAGACAGCAGCGATCCCACACGAACACAAGCAGAACATACAAATGTCACACTGAAAGGCACACCCCGGAGCTTTCAAACATTCAAACCGCAACAACAACAAATAAAAAAAAAACACTTTAGTCGCTTGCAAATTGTTAGGAAAATGAAAAGGATTTAAATCATAACATTATTATTAATATTATTATTATTATTATTATTATTATTATTATTATTATTATTATTATTATTATATAATATTAACAATAAATATGTATAGTATTCATTATTAAAAATATTAACTAAGTGCTAATAGTGTTTCCCGTCTGACTGTTGTCGGTGTTATGAAACGCCCAGCGTGGTGGTTTCACTTCCGGCCCCGGGGCTCCTGGGCGCCTCGCGGGTGACGGTCTTTCCCCGCTGACTTCAGGCCACCCACGCCGTGCAGTGACGAGCGCGCTCGGCTCCGCTCAGAGCGCCGCACCAGTTGAGGATTGGTCGCAGCGCCCCTGGCAGCCCGCGCGGCCGGCGCTCTGATTGGTAGATCCTTGTTACCAGGTAACAGGAGGAGGAAGTTGAAGGAGTCGCTGTGTGCTGAATTTGGCAGCGAGTGTTCCTGTGGCATTAGTCCAAGCCAGAGGGTGGATATGTGCTCCAAGCTAAGGCAATATTATTTTCACCGTGTGTATTAAATCAAATCTCGGTTTGGAATTGATCTTGTTCTCTTTCTTTGCTCATAATAAAATGAAAATTGTAGCGCAACAATGTATTACTTTTTAAAGCGCACTAGAAAGAAAAGAAAACAACAATCCGATTTTTATTCAGTCGTAAGTGGAAGTGAATGACTTGTTTTTCGAAACAGGAAACAAAATCTGCTCACTCAGATGTCTGATGTTTCTAAGTGAAATCCCCGTCGGGATTTCTGAACTTAAATAGCAAAAGCATTTCTCTGACAAGTCTTTTGTGTTCAATGAAATTTTAAATGACCCTGCGGTGTGCGAAGAAGAGTTATGGAACAGATCGTGGGTTTATGTTCCAGATGGGGACACTTCCCTTCAACTGTTATGATCTTCAAAATATACTTAGCCTTGGTTTACAACAACCCCAACTATAAATGGGGACCAGAATTTGTATGGCATATAATTAATACAAATTAACACTTCTACAACCCTTTATCATGGCAGTGCGTCTTACATCGATTCTACATCGTAATCTAACACTTGGAATAATTACTTAAATTTCCTAGTATCTGAAAAGATGGATCTAAATAATTCAATTTTACATTCAAAAAGTGAGACGTGCAATCACAGATATTTAATGGATTGTATAAAACGTGCTTACCCTGCAAATAAATTAGTCATTTCATAGTCATAGCTGAAATGAATTTTTTCTTTCCTTTGACAGATTGAACCCCCTTCCTGCTGAGATGAAGGCTTTGTCCTCTCATATTTACATGTGCAATTAAACGACTGCCTTCAGATTCCACAAACTAATTTTTTGTATTATTGAGAATCGGCTGTGACGATGCACGTCTTTATTTAAATCAACAAGACAGCGGTGATCTTTGCTCGTCAAGTGGTAAAGAATCTAAGCACACACAACTCTAGGCGTCAGCATGCCTCCAGGAAGCAGTTCTGCTGATCGCTGAAAAGATCAAGTCAAAATTAATGACCCGAATAACCCGCCCCAGCAATTTCCACACTAGAGCACTGATCACTCCCGATACTGCAGGGTCGCAGTCCACGAGTTTTATAGTTAACTCATTATCCTTAACGAGTAAAAACAGTGTTGTACAGATAAGTGAATGATTGATTCAGATAAAGGGGTGTAAGAGTTCAGAAGACATGGCGATACTCCAGGGCCATTAGAGCATATCAATGAACCAGTATATTGTTATTATTTAAAGATCTATTCGGACAAACCCGTTGATGTAATTCCTCAAAGGATGAAGTCCTCTCTTTTTATTCCAATTTCCAAGGCCTGTTTGCCTTCAGTCTTGGAGGACTGTAATTCTGTATGTCTCCAGCCCTGATACCACAGAGCCCCAGTCCAATTATTCTCATAGCTCACCATCACAAATCATTTACATAATTATATTTACAGGTCAGGATCACTGGCTTCTGAAATTGATCAGTTACACAAGTAATGTTTCAATGGAGTGAGGTCCAAGCTATCAGTAAGCTAATTGAACACCACACTAGTTAAATCGATTATTGCCTGTTGAGAAGTTTGTTATTAATTGGGTCATTTAAACGAAGAGATTATGGGCAAAGAGCAGGGTGGAATGAACACCCAGACACCTGCAGGACCCCAGGACTGGACTCGTACATCACCGACCCATGCTCTAAACTACAAAATTGTGCCAATGACTTAACATGACAAAACTACTAACACTTTTCAAAGTAGGCCACCATCTAAAAAAAATTACCAACTAAACCTCCCGGACTGCTTGACTCTCAAGGACTGTTGTTGTGACTCTAGTGATCCTCACTCATAGCTGTGTAGCAGCTACAGCCCAGCAAACCTTTTATGTACTGGAGCTTCTCAAAGACTTGGGACAAATTGGATACCGTTTTAAATTAGGATCATGTCAACAGGTGAACCAACGAGAGCATAATGAACTTGGGAAGAATCAAAAATAGTTGATACTAAGAATCCTAAGGAGGAGCAGCAGTGTGGACGTAATGAATATTAATTTTGCTTTATATTTAATAGCATTCCAGCCATTCTATTTAAATAAATCTGTCGCATGCAGGAAACTGTTCATTTATGAAAAACGTTTATTAAATAATATGCAAAGTATGATAGTACATAATTGTCACAGTGTAATAGAATACTGTTCACTTACAGATCTTTTCACATATAACAATTTATTTTGTCTTTTAATGTTCAATAAATGCAGCTCAGAATATACAATACATTCATATATACAAAACAGACAAAGAACTTGACACAACGGCTTTGGCAAAGAGTGCAGACGTCTGTAAAATGCTACGGATATGAAAGTAAACAAAACGTCTTTGAGGGGGGGGGAATCCGAATGGGTAAGAGAGTCCAGTGCAAGGTCAGACTTCCATCAGCTGCGTAGCAGCTGGCTGGTTTCCGCCACGGTCCGTTTGTCCCCGAGGGGGGGTGGGGGGGTGGGAGGGGGCTAGTGCGAGGCGGGTACCAGCATGCCGAGCGGCAGGATGGGGCTGGGGGCGGGCGGCGTGCCGTTCAGGCTCTGGACTTCCGCCTGCCAGCTGGGGATCTTCTTCGCGGTCAGGTGGCGGCGGGCGTGCTTGGTCAGGTGGTCGCTGCGCATGAAGCGCCGCTCGCAGACCACGCAGGCGAACTTCTTCTCGCCCGTGTGCGTCCGGCGGTGGCGCGAGAGCTCGTCCGAGCGCGCGAACTTCTTGTCGCAGCCCTCCCAGGTACAGCTGAAGGGCTTTTCACCTGGAACGCAGGAGAACGAGAGAGAGAGAGAAATGAAACAACCGAGCCTGGGTGAAAAAGCAGGTAACGGGCTCGCGGATCAGTTCACGTTCTTTGCCCGTCTGTTGTGAGGTTGGACAGGTGAACCCCTGTGGGTTCAGGACGAAATGTTTTAAGAGCTTCGTGAAAATAATCTTTGTGACTTTACCATTTTCTTACGGTTTTAATCCAATTCAGGGCCGTGGGGGAGCCGGAGCCTATCCCAGCAGGCAATGGGCGGAAGGCAGGACACACCCTGGACAGGACACCAGTCCATCGCAGGGCACACAGAAGCGAACACCCACTCACACCAGGGCCAGTTCTCCCAGAAGTCAACCTACCTACCAGTGTGTCTTTAGACTGTGGGTGGAAACTCAATAAAACAGAGAACAGAAACTCCACACAGAACCTGAACCTAGAGTCCCAGCACCACAAAAGAGCATCCTCAAAGTGTATAAGTACTCTTATAGCACGCTGGAGTTCTTCTGAAAACTGTACATCTGAAGCACAGAATCATCTAGATGAACATTTCACTCACTTCTTTATAAATTTTCTCTCATGTTTCCCCCCCCTAATTTTAAAACTAGAGACTTTGTGTGAAACGGGATTGATAATGAGCAGTATCCTTAAGACAACATTTGCCATTTCCATAGAAAATTGTTTGATATTTACAATTAACATATATATCAGAAAAATGCAAAAACTTTTAAAATAGTCCAATTATTCATGTGATTTAATTGGTCCCTTTCAGCCTTATATCCCCAAATATAGAAAAACAAATCTGTTTCAATCAACTGAACAGGTTGTTTCATACTTATTAAATTATTTCACACTATATCCCGTTATAATCTGTTGTTGCTTAATGACATTTTGCCGTGGTTTTACAGCACAGCGCTTATTGCCATCTTCTTACATCTTCGCGAGATAAAAAGTCTCCGGGTGTCTTATGAGAATTCAAGCCTTATGGGAAAACGTACATCGCGCCTGACACTGTTTGCGCCTATTCTTCTTCACTCCATAAAACCAAAACCACACACAAAAAGGCCATTTTCCCTCTCTAACAACTCCCGACAACTCGGCCTTCAACTACAACCTCGGTTCTGTCAACCGTTAAGTAAATCAGTTTATTCTCAAGCCTCTTCCCCTTGAGCACCGTTCGACGCTACACTTTGACGGCCGCAGAATCACAGCTCATCTCCCACAAACACACTGCGTTATACGCTATCCTGCAATAAAACCAAAAAAACCCAGAATAAAGAGGGGCCGTGATACAAGGACATGCTGGTCGGACGCGAGCAGTTCCCGCTGATACGCGATCTTTGTCACCGACCTGAAAAAAAGCGAACTTGGCCGTCGGAAACAACCAAGTTGGCCGTCGGAAATCCGCAATCACCCCCCCGATGTCATTTCCTCTCCTAAACCACTGGAAATCCCGTACGTGATCCCCTCTCCCTCACACACGTCTTCTTGCAGCCCTCCTCCCCCTCTGCAGCTGCCCCGTGGGTCACCCCGCGCGCTTGGCTTGGGGCGGGGGGGTCCCCAGCCTCCTCGTCCCGTGGCCGGGAGCTGGGCCCTCAGCCAAATCCGCACTCGGCATTCCAGAATCCTTCCCGGCGGGGCCGGTATTCACCTGTGTGGGTCCGGAGGTGCGCCTTGAGGTGCGAGCTCTTGAAGTAGGTCTTGCGGCACCCGGGGAAGCTGCAGACGTAGTTCCGCCGGCGGGAGAAGTCCGACTGGGAGGCGCCGGCGCCGGTGCCCTGGCCGGAGGGCACGTACAGGGGCGCGGGGGCCAGGGGCAGCAGTCTGGTGTTGCCCAGGGTCACGACCGCCTGCGGGCCCTGCGGGGGCTGTGGCACCGGGGAGGGGGGCAGGACGAGCATGACGGTGCCCTGGGGCACGGGGGCCCCCATCAGGAACTGCTGCGAGAAAG